TCACAGTGTGACTTCCCATTCTGCCTCTTCAGGATGCAGAACTCACCCGGCAGCTCCCCTTTCCCCCCTTTAATAAAGCTGCATTAAGCTTTCTCTCGTTCTCTCTGATTTCTTGTTTAAGTCCACTATCCTAACAATGAGCACAACTGCCTGCTGACTACACAAGCGCTCCCTTGGAGACCCAATTTGTTGTTGTTGTTGTTGCTGTTGTGTACCTTTGAGTCAGAACCAACGCATAGCCAACCGTCAGGAGGGTTTTCAGAGGCACTTAATCTCATGGGAGGAGATTGTCCATCTTTCTCCCATTGAGCGACTGGTGGATTGGAACTGCGTACCTTTATAATGGCAGAGCAATTCCTTACCACTAAACCACCAAAGTTCCATACAGAGTGTGACTTATAGGGCCATTCTAATCTGTCTTAACGGGTCACCATAAGTCAGAATCAACTTGTCGGTAATAATTTTTTTTTTAAATAGAAGTTTCTGGGCCTTTCTCCTAGAGTTGAGTAGGTTAAAATTCTTCTGTTTCCAACCAAGTACAAACCATTTTGATTGCCCAAGGAACTCCTGGTGCTCTGGTTATTGTTGTTATGTGCCATCAGAGCTTATTCCAGAGGGTTTTCAGAGGCAGCAAATCACATGGGAGGAGATTGCTCACTTTTCTCCCTCAGAGCAGCTGGTGGGTTCGAACCATGGGCCTTTGGGTTGGCAGCACTACTGCTTACCACCATGCCACCAGAGCTCCCTCCTGGTGCAGCTAATACCCATTAAGTATTTCCTCTGGGTGGTCTTCAATGCTTCTGCTGTCAATTCTAACACTTGCTCATTTGTCCCTTCTGTGTGATGGGTCTCACAGGACTCGTGATACCCCATAACACCCCCACAATCTCATCTTGGGTGACTGATCTCCACAGAGATCACCATGGGGAGGGTGTTCTGAATGCTTTCCTCTCTACTGAAGCTAGAGGGACCCCCAGCCCCTCCTGCCCCCGTCCGCTGCCCGTACTCACCTTCCCTGTGGAGGGCAGCGTGGGCCCTCGGGGCTGGAGGACGATCAAGTCCGGCCCGGCGCTGGTGTGGGGCAGCTGAGCCCGGCTGCGGTGCAGGAGCGTGTTCAGGACACTGGATTCGTTCACACTGATGAGGGCGGCCAGGTCCTCGGCCTGGTCCAGCTCAGGGGGGTTGGCCTGTGAACCATCACACAGTGGAACTATAGCTTTTTCCTGCATTCCAGCTTTCCAGAAGTAAAGAATGCTTTGTTTTCTGAAACGCACGTTGCGTGAATTCTGAACTACAGTTTTGTCCTGCATTCCACCATTCATTCTAATGAGTGTGGCCAGGTTCCCAGCCTGATCCAGTTCAGAGGGGCATGGCCTGAGGACCATCACACAGTGTCTCCCCCATCACAATCCCATCTCCCATTTCTACTCACAACACCAGGGTCCTGTCTCTGCAGAGCCTCAGGGTAAAGATTAGACAGATACCAGGCTCTGGAGGGGCTGATGGAACCTACAGATGACATTAGGCTCGCGAAAGCCACTGCTCCCATCCAACAGATCCTTCCTTCCTGCACCCGCCGCACTGTGATGTAAACACCTTCCATTGTCTCAACCCCACAACACGGCCAATGATGTTGGGGAGTGTGGTGGTGCTCCTACTATCTCTGCCTTTGTGAGTCTCATAGAAGTTAGGGATGGAGGTCAATGACCAAATCGCCCCATTTCTCTGAAATCATCAATCCCTTTGAAAAGTGTACAGATCTTCCGATACAAGCAGTGTTCCAGCTTCTTCCCAGGGAGCCTCATTCTAGGCAGCTTCTCTTTCCAGCTTGGGAAGTTCTTCCGAGCTGGTACTCAAGGGGGTTGGTCAAGCCTGACATCGCTTATGACTCAGCCTTTCTCTCAAAGACACTGGGTCTATGCAAACCCCCAACACCAGTGAGGGAGGGGAAGGGGCGGATAGAGAAGGAATGGAGAAATCTTCAGATCTTCAAGAACCACATAAAGTCCCTGGAAGAAGTTGAATCTGCATCGGCAGGTCATGAGGGTAAAAAGACTCAGGACAACAGGGTTTATAAACATGCCAAAAGCATAGGAAAAGTAACTGAAAAGAATAAAAAGAAAAAGATGATGGCAAATGATTTCTAAAAATACAGATGATTGAAAAAGATTTTTCAAAGAAGAAGAAAGCTTGATGTCCAATGTGTAGACTATCAGGTCCTATGTGACGGTGAGAGACAGCAGCCAATTTGGCTCTGAGTTCCCTGGCAGCCAGGGTGATAGGGAAATTATGCCCTGGACCATGATTTGTAACGCCCATAAGATGTAAACAGCCACCTTCTTGAGGAAATCGAAAGACCTCTCACTATCCAGATCTGACACGCATATCAGTTTGGTTTTTGTTTGGGTTTTTTCCTAATAAACAAATAAAAACTTTACTAGAATTGAAGTTCAACTTTGCTTCAATCACACGACAGAAACAAAGAGCAAAAATAACTGGCCTGTAGTTTCAGTTATGAATATTTTTACAATGTTGTTACATGTGACTCATAGTGACTGTATATCTAACAGCTCTGACTCCCGCTCTATCTTGCATCAACCTCGTTGTCTCTGACACACTTACTTTCATTACCGCAGTCATTTAATCAATCCAGCTCATCTAGGATCTTTCTTTCTTGCATTTTCGCCTCCACCCTTACAAACACAATGTCCCTCTCCAAGGACTGGTCCCTCCTTGCCCAACGTATGTCAGACGGGATTCACCCTCTCCAGGATGAACCTGTTTGTTCACCTAGCAGTCCATGGTATGTTCAGTACTCTTCTCCAGCAGCATAACTCAAAGGCATCAATTCTCCTTTTGTCATCCTTAGTCATTGTCCAGCTTTCTGACGCATAGCAAGTATTGGCAAAACCCATGGTCTGGATCATGTGCACCTTGGTTTCCAGACGGACATAGTTCCTTTTCAGTATGACATGCCTATCTGTTGATGTGTCTTTCTAACAGGGTTACCAGGAGATCTTATGACATGATTACCTGACAAAAATCCCTCAAACAATACAGCACATTAAATAGGGCTCTTACCTCTCTAACTGCCCTTAGGGAATCAAGTCCATGTAGTATCTGCAGTTGGGGTGGGGGGCAGGGGAGGGAATTGGGGAGCAGGGACTCACCCTGTGAACGTGTTCCTCATCCACCTCGGTGACGGTCTTGGTGGCATCGATGCAAAGTCGCACCCTTCCTGCGGGCAGGTCAGCTGTGCCCTCGTCCGGCTTCAGCACAGTTGCTGGTGGGCATCGCAGAGAGAAGAGAGGAGGAGAGTGAGCACAGGAGGAGGCTCCGAGCTGCAGAGCTGAGAGCCGGGACGCTAGTGCAGGACCTGGGAGGCGACGGAAGAGCTGCACCCCTTCCTTCAAGGCCTCATGGTAAATTCTAAATTATGACATCCTCCAATTCCCTGAGTCTGACTCACCTTGAACTTTTACCAGTTGTCCCATTGCCGAGCACACAGGTACTGTTGTTGTTGTGTGCTGTGGAGTCAGAACTGACCCGTAGCTGACCCTCGGGCAGGTTTCCAGAGGCAGTTAATGGCATGAGAGGAACTAACCCCTCCCTTCTCCCAAGGAGAAGCTGGTGGGTTTGAACCACGTCTCTTTGGGATTGCAGTGCCATTTCTTATCGCTAGGCCACCAGAACTCCCTAAGTACACAGTAGGCACCCCGAAAGCTGGCTGCATTGACGCAGCCCTATCCGAACCTGGGACATCTGCGATCGGTGTGCAGGCTGCTAGCATCCAGGAGAGCAGCCTCCAGGGGTGAAGTGGTCACCAATTGTCCCCACTCACAAAGTCACATATCATCTCCTAGGTCTCTGCTGCCCCCCCCCATTCAGTTCCTGTCCACCAAATAAGTGTAAACAGGGCCTAACAAAACTAGTAGTAATGGGGATGAGGGCGCCAGTGGTGAAGCTTCAGGCCCAGGGGTCCCTAACCCCCATAGTTACCAAGTGTGAATCCATCCTTCTGTACCAGCCAGACCTTCTCTGCCTCATACCATCTGTCTTCAGGGGCCTGAGAACAAAGATCAAGGGCATTAAGTGGACAGAAAGACATCCCTGAGGGCTTGGCAGACTCTTCACTTTGGGGTCTCTTGTAGGATCATCTGGGGGGGGTGCTGAAACAGAATCTCTAGCAAGCATTTCTTTCCATTCGGATTCATGGGCCCTACACCATGTGGTATTAACCCCTTAGAAGCTACTTCCCTTGCCCAGTGGAGAACCCCACCCCCACCCCCAAATGTGAGCTGTGGATGGCTCCAGCCCCCTAAGCATCAAGGAAAAGGCACTGTCCCCTCCTCTGTGTCCCACCTCTTGCTAGTTCCTGCATCCCGGTCACCCCTTAGGGCTGGTCCCTTCCTGCCTCTCCATCTTTGGAGGGCCCCACCCGCCCACAGCACACGTGGGGATGCAGCTTTGCCACCTGGTCCGTGTGTCCGCTCCGGCCTTCCACGTCCCCCTCCTGCAGCTCTGGTCGATCAGTCTCCTCTCCAGTCTGAGGTCCTTTCACTGGGGTCTCCAGTCCAGGCGCAGGTCCTTCCAGCAGCTTCTCTGGCGCCTTGTGCCCAGTGTCTGTTCCAGGGCTGGGCGCCTCTGCTCTCTGCCCTCTGCTTTCTGGTCCATCATCCGTCCCAGCTGCCACTGCAGACAGGCCCCCCAGTTGCATCTTGTCCGGGGCTGCACAGCCCTTCTCTGGCTGACCCCCAGTGCCACCTGCCTCCCCAGACTCAGTATGAGTTTGCCCCACTTTCTCCTTCTTGCTCTGTGGCTCATCCGCCCTGTCAGGCTTACTCTGGGGTGCACCTGCTTTCTCCATCAAACTCAGGGGTTCTCCCACCTTCACCTGCACTTGACCTATCTTCTCTGTCTTGGGAGGCTCACCTGTCTTGTCCCCCTTCCTCAGGAGGCCCCTTTCTTTGTCTTTCTTACTCTGGAGATCACCCCACTTACCCCTCCTATCTAAAGAACTTCCCCACTTCCTCATCTGAATTGGGGCCCCAATTTGCTTCCCTTCACCTCCTGCATCTTTGGAGGAGCCTCCTTTCTCTTTCTTGGATTGGGGGTCCCCTTCTCCCACCACTGTCCCGTGTGGTGTTCCTTCTCCTGGCTCTTGGGTCAGTGGTCTGGTCCCCTGACCCTCATCTCCCTGGATCCCAACCTCGTTAAGTCCCTTGGTCTGCGGGGCCTTGACCCCAGTCCCTACTGAGACCTGGCCCTTCTGGCCTTTTGACAATGACACATTTGCGGGACCTGAGCTCCCACAAGTCCCAGTCGGAGTCTTCTCGGCTTTTGCGGCTGGCTGCTCAGTGCTAGCCTGGGAGCCACGGGGACTACTTGGGGTCTCCCCTGCAGAGTCTGTGGCTGGAGGAGGGGTCTTGCAGGTAGGGAAAACCGTGGGGGGAGTCCTCTGCTCCGACTTCACTGAGTCAGGGTCCAGCTTGGCCACCATTAGTAGCACATCGCCTCTCCTCACACCCCTCTTGAAGGGCAGCGGCTTCTTGGCTGGGGTCGCACTGGAGCCCGGCTCCTGAGTCTTCTCATTGATGCTGGTCATCGGTGTAGAGTCCATACTCCCGACCACCTCACTTTCCTTGCTGGGAATGTTCGAGTCCTGGGGAGAGCCTGACTGGTCACCCTGGGTAATCTTCTGGCTTCCAGATTTGGTGCCACTGTTGGACTTGCTGTTGGAAAGTTCTGGAGTCTAGAAGAAAGAGACCAGAGGCAAGCTTTGCTATGTGCTGCCCTCATTGGGTCACCCATCACTCACGCATTGATTCACTCACTCATCCAAAGACCTGCAAGCACATTGAAGATGTTGATACCCACTATGCAGACATGGCGGGAGCTTGGGTGGCCTAGCACATAGGGAGCCTTGTTGCTAAGCCAATGACTGCCTCTCTCAGGTGGTTCAAATCCACCGGAAGCAACATGAGAGGGACGTGAACAATCTCCTCTTGTGCAGTTTATAGATGCAATGAAGGGTCAGCTGTGAGCTGTTTCCAATTCGATGGCAACTAATTGGGCTATTGTTTTGTTTTGTCAAGTTTATTTTTTGCTGGGGTTTTTTTCTATACCCAGCTCAAATACCACCTGCTCCACAAATCTTTGCCTGATGATATTAATCAGAACTTATTTCACACATCCAGGAAGTCTCAGAGCACTGTATGAGTACACTATTTGGACATCCATCCACCACTCTACACTCCATCCCAGTTTTATTTCGGTCTCCTCTCTCTTGTCTGTGATGCCTCAAGAGTACTGTTTCTATCTTCAGCTTTGTAATAATGAGGATGACAGTCAAAATGACCATCTATCAAAAGCCACCAACATTGAGTCTATCTTAACTCATAGCAACTCTATCGGATGGTGAAAAGCTATCCCTTGGGGCTCCCAAAGCTGTGAATCTTTACAGAAGCATAGTGGTTCATCTCACTCCTGTGGTGAGAGCTTGAATCACAGGCCTTCTGGGTGGTAGTTCAACATTTAACCCACAGTGCCACCATAGCTCTTTAATGATCATGTAAACCAAATAAGGGGTAAGATCTGGCCTGGGCCACCTACAGAACTACAACCAGGGCCATCTGACATGTGATGCCAGTGTCGTTCTATACCAGTGTCACCCAACCAGCTGCTCCCTGCCCCCCCCCTCCAATTGACAGGGTGGCCTTTTCCTAAGTCACCTCTCTGTTTTCCTTTTCTGAAAATAGGGCAGGGTTCAGAGCTATTGTGCATAGGGTCACTATGAGTAGTAGGTGACTCCATGTCATATAATAACAACAACAGCACCACAAGGGTCCCTCGCAAGGATTGCATGAAGATCAAATTAAGCAGTTGCACTGGGACAAGAAGAGAGTACTTGGAATTGTTAACTGCCTGGAACAAGAAAAATGAACTTGGCAACACCAGCCAGGGCTCGCTGTCTCACAAGAGCGTGTCCTGAGGTTCCCTGCTCTTGCCCCGGGGGACACCTTGGCCCAGGGTCAGCCACCTGTTTCCGTCTGAGACCTGTCCATCCCGTATCTTGGCTCTAAGTCTCTGTTCACAGTTAACAGTCTGTTCCCAGTTCAGCTCAGCTCTGCTCCTTGGGCACCTGGACCGGAAGAACCAGCTGTCTCACTTGACCCTATCCTCTCCTGTTGTCTGTGGCCACCTCTCCAGCCGCCTCACACCCCAGACACACACGTCCAGAGAGCAGAGAACATGCAGGTCTCGCTCTTGCTCTGGACCCCCGATCTGGCATCGTGACCTCAAGAGAGTCATTTTGCCTCTCTAGGTCTCAGTCTCCACCTCTGATAAATGGGTATAATCCCTCCTCCATTGCTTCATGGGATAGCAAATGAGCCCATGTACAGCAAATCGAGCACTGACTAGCGATAAATACACACAGTGAGATTTCATCATGACTTAGCCCCAGCCCGCTGGGGTCACGTTTAGCTCTCGTGTACGGATAAGGCTTGGGCCAGGCATCTTCAAAGACTTAGCGGGGCTGCTTCGGCAGCTGTTGTCGGTCAGCTGGTGGAGGCTTTCTCTCAAGCAGTACGTCGCTTGTCACAGAACAGGAAGAGGCACGCATGGGACACGAGATGAAAAGCAAACAAGAGCCTGGTCAAAGCTGTCACTTCAGGCGGAGCCCACCAGCCTCCCTGGTTGAGGAAGCCTCCCTTCTGGCTCCTCTCCAGTCACTAGACTTCACGGCCCAATTACAGCACTCATCTTGCCTTAAAGGGGACCAGGGGAGACATAAGGAGATGCGCCCTCTGCCTAACACAGTAGAACTCCCAAGATACACTGCATCCCTAGGCCTTCCTCCCTGAAGTCAGGAATGGCCACCGTGTTCCCTGACCGAGGAGCTGGGGACAAGGAGGGAGACAGCACTGGCCATCACCAGGGACAAGTCAGAAAGTCTTTACTTGCAGGGCGTGCATCTTATCTGTTATTTCCACCCTGTTGTTGTTGTTGTTGTGTACCATGGAATCAGAACCAAGTCAGCTGACGCTCCAGCAGGTTTGTAAATTTCCCATCCTTTTCCCCCTCCGAGCAGCTGGTGGATTCGAACTGCATGTCTTTGGGTTGGCAGTGCAGCTCCTTACCACTAAGCCACTAGAGCTCCCTTGCCATCCAGCAGTGCTATCTAAAATAGTCAAGTGGTTTGAAGAGGCATCAACCTAAAGGTGAGTGGTTCAAATCCACCAGACGCTCCAAGGGAGTAAGAAGGTGCAGTCTCCTCTCATTAAGGTTTACAACCTCAGAAATGTGATATGAGTCTAACTTAACTCCAGTGCCAACAGAGGTGTGGCTATTGAGACCCCACTCTGTGGCCTTCAATTACTGGGTTGGGGCATTCTAAGGGAGCCCAGAGAGGAATCCAGGTGATCATAGCAGCTGGATGGCACTGAGAGAGGCTTGGGGGCCAAAACCACTTACCCCTGACAATGAGGTCACATCTCTCAGAGACGGTGACGTTGGTTTAGGACAGGACAAGGTTCAGAGCCATCATTCACAGAGTTATTATGACTTGTAGTCAACTTGACAGCACTTAACACAACAACTACACATCTGATATGAGAAAGCTTCAAAAATCAATACAGCCACATGCCTGACATAGATCAGGAAGGTGCAACTGAGAATCTTTTGTGCATTCAAGAGAACATTTCAGCCTTAAATTTCTCTTTCTTCAACAGCAGAGAGTATAAAATTACCTCTCCAACCGCACACATCACCTGGCACCATCCATTTCTTAAACAAGTTATTTGTTGAACACTCACTATTGACCAAGCAAGCACTATAAAAGCTGCTCAAGACAGATTTGAATGAAAAATGAAACTACTGCCCCCACGAATTCCACATCAAGTAAGCTAGGCAATCAGACACAAGTCAGATAGGCAGGGAGGGCATAGGGGGAATCCGAGGAAGCAGGGCAATGAGGGAACTTTTTTCCAGGCTGTGTTATTTGAGCGGGGTTTTGCAGGATGCATAGGAGTTCAATAGACCACAGTGGGGAAAGGAAAGCGCGGAAGCAGGGCGAGCTGGAGCAGGGAGAGGATGGCTCTGAAGCTTTATAGCTACACGGACAGCAGAGGAGAGGCTGGTGGGAATGGATCAGTTGGCTCCCCATCCACTTCTCTCAGGGGCACGTACCTCTTGTTGAGGGGAGACAAGCACTGCTTGCTTCCTCCTTCTTGCTTCTTTGGATTCCTTCTCGGTCTCCCGGACCAGCTGCCTAATGAAGCCCCCTGGGATGACGGAGAAGAGGGGAGGGGGCGAGGACGGCGGCGGGCTCTTGTCCTCTTCCCGGATCTGTTGTTCAGAAGCAAGGAGAGAGCTCAGTGAGTGAACGCATGGGAATGCTTTGCCCATAGAAGGCTGGAGACAGGCCAAGGAGGATGTAAAGGACCAAGCCCAAGCGTGACACCCCAGCAGAACAGGCGAGGCTCAGAGGCCTCTGGCAAAGAGGGCGTGAAAATGGAGCACAAGACAGCAAGCTGTACCAGGTGACATGTCTACATGTGAACCAAGTCTCCTTGGTGGTCGCGGTCACTGCTCTCCTCCTTGGCACTGGGCAGACCCATCCCAGGAACACCTATCCCCAAAGGTGCATTTCTAGTTCTCTGACTGGGACGACTCACAGGGAACCATTCACACCCTCGCACCTCGACTTACAGCAAATGGCTAAGAGAATTTACAAAACAGCGCTGGAGTTCCTGATCGTAGGAACTCAATGGGCATCAAAACAGAACTGTCTCCCACAGGATTTTCAGCGACTAAGTTTTCACCAGTAGATCACCAGGCCTGTGTTTCGAGGCATCTCCAGGTGGACTCAGTTGTGCTGACCGATGTCAAGCAATTGAGCTGGCCGAGATCGTTCATTCCAGAAACACAGCCCAGTTTACAGCTGCTTTGGGGTCAGGCACTTTGATTTGTCACGACAGGCTTAGGGACTAAGGCCTGGAGGTACCTACAGTCAGCAGAGTGTCTCTTTAACCAGCATCAATGTCTCTGCCCGTAAAAATGATAACACGGGTGCTTTATATGGAAGAGCTACACGCGGGTTTAAAATAACCTTATCAGGAGCCTCTGTGAGCAAGTGGCACTCTGAAGCTTTGTAGCCTGACTGATAAAAGGAGAATCCAGGACGGACAGGAAAGGAAGGCCAGTGAGTCACGAGGAGACCGTGGAGTAACACAGACCTCTGCCCGGGGACAGAGAAGTGTGGGGCTATGCAATCTCAGGCTCCCATTTACATGTCTTCCTCCCCAAAAGTCCCTAACGGAGGCAAAAGGTCAACACGCTCAGCAGCCAAGCAGAGCCGCAGGTTCTGATCCACCCAGAGGCACCTCGGAAGAAAGAGGCACCTACATCATCAGATCTACTTCTAAAAGTAGTCACTGAAAAGCCTGGTGAAGCACTCACAACTCTGATGACTCTGAGGTCATCACGCTCGAGTGACACGGGCAGGAAGAGGTTCCCGGGTCTCCACGCGTCCTGAAGCCCACTTTGTATCATCTTCAAACCCACTCTGCCCAGGTCAGCATGTGCCTCTTTCAAAGCCGTCCCCAGTGGACACACAGGCCAGTTAGGGGAGGTGCTGGGACAGGAAGAAGAGTCTCATGCACCCCGTCAACCTACCTCCAACTCCTCATGTCACACACAGGCTAGTGGGATGAGGGGTGAGGGAAACAATGCACATTAAAGGAAGAAGCGGCTGTCATCGTCCCTTAGAGAGGAACCACCGGGAAGAACACCTGGCTTCCGGTTTTCCATGGAGACCCCGGAAGTTCATTCCCAGATGACAACCTTGGCAGCCAATCTCAGCTTCCTCCATTCCCTCCTCCTCCCACATAAGCCTGGTGTTCAGCAGAGTTGTTTGAAATAGGACAGCCAGGCTTACTATCACATCCCACCAGAGCAGGTAAGGAGACAGGCCACCAGCAAGCCACACCTGTTGGACTAGACATGCCAGGGGAGAAGGGGACGCTAGAGATGGCATATCCCCTCCCTAGAGCCCCCAGCTGTGACTTGTCCTCTGAAGGGGATGGAGCCGCAGCCCCAGCCCTGAACGGCACTTTCCTTCTGTTCCCACAGGGCCAGGCGCGATGAGATGGCCATGCTGAGGCTGTGCCAGGCGGCGAGATGAGGTGACGTGAGGTGAGAAGAGATGAGATGAGATGAGATGAGATGAGAAGGCGCTCCCGGCCACACGGCACAGAATGGGGTGCTAGGGACACACGGAGCACATGAGACGGACAGACACAGACTAACACATGAGCACGGAGACAGGAGGGGAGAGAAAGAGAGACGCGGTTAGCTGCTGTCCACAGCCCAGCTCCCAACCCCACCAATGTCATAGTCCCAGAGTGCAAGGTGCAGGACACAGCTGGCCACAGCTCATGGTCATTGCCTCCTGCCCTGCAGAACTGTCGTACACGGAGGCTCCCTTCATAATTTTTTCCTTCCTATTCGATTGAAGTCATGCATTCAATCAGAATAATGCATACTCCTGTAGACAGCCCACCGACTAACTCTTCTTACAAAAAGCACGCTGCTTTTTTGACATCTGGTCAAGTCCATTTCCTGTGACAGAGTACATCTCTCTAGGATTTCAAGAGAGCAGATTGTCAGATCTGTTCCCCCTCAGAGTCTCAAAGTGGGGCCCAGCCACAAACCTTTTGTTTGGGTAGCAGAAGGACGCTTAGACGTCCCTCCAAAAGGACTCAATTACAAAGGAATACACACGTAGCACTAATACCACAAGCAAGTGAAATTGTACTGAAACTAATTACAATTGGAGCTTCGACAGGTGACTACCAGAAATCCAAGCTGTATTCAGTAGAAGCTTTGGGATGAAGGATACCATTGATCTTGGCTGAAAGCACAAGAAAGAGGTTTACCTGTGTGACAGTTATGAATAAATGTTGTGAGCAGTAGGAATGATACTATTTCAATGTCACTTCATAAAGCCCGGGTGGCCTAGTGGTAAGACACTGTGCTGCAATCCTAAAGGCACGTGGTTCGAGTCTATCAGCTGCTCCGCAGGAAAAAGATGGGCAATCTCCTCCCTTGTGTTTACAGCCCCCAAAAAAACCCTCTGGAGGGTCAGCTATGAATCTATTCCAACCCAACAGTACGTAACAGCAGCGATAGTACCTTGGGCAAGATAAAAACCACGAGTTTTGTGACTCTAGTGACCAAATGTTCAAGAGCAGGTGAGTTTAATGAATGATGAAAAAGGTCAGAGGAGTCATTAAGTGGAGAAGGGGCATGGGAGAATTCCCAGGATGGAGGAAATGTGTGCTTCTTGACCAGGGGGATGGCTACACAGGTGCATGAAATGCTATATAATTAAGATGCAGTATCCTACTTGTTAATCTGGGCAAAAGGGGCCAAAGAGAAGAATGAAGAATTCAGAGCTCAAATGCTGATGGCCTTATCTGCTGCTGATAAGAAGGGCAAATGGCCTTGCTCTCTGGCTGAGCTAGGAGGCGGCTCCTAAATCGGAGTGGACTGTCCCTCCCTAAAGACTCTGTTTATAAAAATCCTCCCCAGTAAGTTCACAGTGTGACTTCCCATTCTGCCTCTTCAGGATGCAGAACTCACCCGGCAGCTCCCCTTTCCCCCCTTTAATAAAGCTGCATTAAGCTTTCTCATTCTCTCTGATTTCTTCTTTAAGTCCACTATCCTAACCTAACACTACTATTGATTATTTATGGTTGTTATGTGTTGTTGTATACCATAGAGTTGGAACCTACCCATAGCTGACCCTCTGGTGGGTTTTCAGAGGCAGTTAATCACACGGGAGGAGACTGCCCATCTTTCTCCCATGGAGCAGCTGGTGGCCTCGAACCATGGGACACATGCTTGAGGCCGGAGAATGGGCACAAAGCTGAATCTCTGGGTAAAAGGTTTGGGGAAGAGTTGGGGCACAGAGACCTCAGCACTTGACTCCTTGGGAGACACTGGATAGGTCCTAACAGCATCACAGCCAAAATCCAGCTCACTTCAGGCCTGGGGAGAGGTGGCCAGGTTATGAATAGGCCTGACCCCACGGCTGTCCCTGTCACTGCCCCCCCCAGCTCCCCTTCCTGGGCCCAGCCAGGCTGTGGTTGCTTCCCAAGAACCGTCCTCGGCTTTGCAGCTCCCGGGGGACTCCTAGCTGTTGGTGGAGCTGGAGCTGGGGTGGGGCCTCCATGCACCAGGCCCTGCCCCTCGAAGGCTCTGGGCCAGCCCCACTGACCCAGGGCCAGTGGCCAGTCCCACACCGGCCAGGCTTTGTCAAGCCTTAATTTAAGCAAGTGTTCTTATCACCACGTTCCCTTCCAGGCCTGGTGCTCACCCTGCCTCGTCAGCTGCCGTTTTCAGCTCAGAAGGAGGCCCCGGGACACTCTGCATTCATGCTTCAAAATCTCCAGTTTTCTCTGGGGAGAGAGCGGGATCGTGGAAGGTATGGTGATCCCAAAGTCAGGGATGACGTGAAATTATTTCCAGTCAGGCCTAGGTTTGTGGATACCTGCTGGCTGTGAGACCTCTGGGATCCCCAGTGCTTCCCTTCACCCTCATTGCCCAGTCCCAAGGTATCCAGTTATGTCACTTATTTCACAAACCAAACGCTTGGCCCTGTCACTTCCCTGAGCAGCTCCTGGAAGCACCCTTCCACTTGTGTCATCTTGGATGTTCCATACTCTTCCAGAAATTTCCCACGGTAGGGCTTCTGTACATGCTGTTCCCTCGGCTTCAGATGTTCTTCCATGTATGTTCTCACCTCAGGGCCTTTGCATATGCTATTTCCTTTGCCTCAAATGCTTTTCCATTCAACTTCCTGCCTCAGGGCCTTTGCATGTACTGTCCTCTCTGCTTCAAATGCTCTCCCATTAAGTATCTACCTCAGGGCCTTTGCATGTGCTGTTCCTTCTGCCTGAAATAGTTTTCCATTCAAGTTCTCACCTCAGGGCCTTTGTATGTACTATTCCTTCTGCCTCTAATGCTCTTACATGTGTACTTTCACTTTAGAGCCTTTGTAAGTGCTAGCCATTTGGTCTTTTATGCTCTTCCTTGCATGTTCCCACCTCAGGGCCTTTGCATGTGCTGTTCCCTCTGTTTTTGATGCTCTTCCAGGCACATCCTATGAAAAGGGCAATGCATTTCCTTCAGATGTCTGCTCGGCTCACCCATCACCTCCTTCCAATCTCCTTCAAGAGTTATCTTCTCAACAAGCCTGTCCTCACCTCCCTATTTAAATTGCAGCACCTCCCCTCAGTGCAAGATTTCTCATTAGTTTTTCTTATCCCTTACCCCCCTCCCTGATCCCCCCAAGGCATCAGCCTCCACTTCTCTGCCCTGTTCTGCGCACATGCATGCTGACTCGTGTGGACTTGTACTACGTCTCCCAAGGTTCTCCACCTTCCAGGTGGGAGTTTCTAGTGGGAGCAAAGAGAACAGACAGGCCATCTACAACCCCAGCTGTTCTCCATGGCTGCCCATCGGCGCCACTGCTATGCATGTCTGTCTCCTGGGCCAAAGTCAGAGGTGAGACCTGCCCTTGGTGTGTCTGACTCCTCCCACTCAGACAGCCCTCTCTGTGCTCTCTCCTCCTTCTTTTCACCAGCAGTTCCCTTCCCCTGTCATGCCTGGTCCAGAGGAAGTAAGGGATCCATGCCACTGTAGCCAGCCCAAATGGTCTGACCGCCCTGGCCCTTTATGGAAACAATAAACAATTGCTGCGGAGTCAGTTCTGACTCATGTTACAGAGTAGAACTGAGCTCCAAAGCAACTTCTGGAACACGGTCATTATGCACACATATCCCCAGGTATTTCTTCTGCAGCGCTCTCAGGTGGGTTTGCTCCATCCACCCTTGGTTGTTGTTATATGGTGTCAAGTCATCTACGGCTCATAGTGACCCTGTGAACAACAGATCTGAATGCTGCTCTATCCTGCACCGTCCTCCTGATCATTGTCATGGTCAAGCCCGCTGGTACAGCCACGGTGTCCGACTATCTCACTGAGACTCTCCCTCTTTTTATTAGTGACATTTCACCTTACCCAGCATGCTGTCTTTCTCTCGAAGGCCTGGCCCTTCCTGACAGCACGCTCCAAGGATGTGAGATGAAGTTTCACTGTCCTTGCCTCTAAGCTGCATCCTGGGGGCACTACCTCCAAAAGAGATCTGTTCTTTGGACAGTTTGTGTTGTTATTAGGTGCTATTGAGTTGACTGTGATTCACAGCTATCTTATCAACAACAGATCTGAGCCTGGCCTTTACTGGCACCATCCTCCTCGTTTCTGATGTGCTCAGCCCGCTGTCATAGTCACTCTATCAATCCATCTTGTAGAGGGTCTCCTTCTTTTTCTGTGACCCACAACCTTTCCCAGCATGATGTCTTTTTCCAAAGACTGGCCACTCCTAGCAACATGCCCAAAATATGTGAGACAGAGTTTACCATCTTTAGCTCTAAGGAGCTCCTTGGTTGCAACTCCTCCAAAAATATATCAATTTGTTCTTATGAGAGTCTCTGGAATATTCCATTCCCTTCTCCAACATCACAATCTAAAGCTATCAGTGATTCTCCAAGCCCCCCATCATCCTTATTCATTGTCCAGCTCTTAGTTGTATAGGAAATAATGGAAAAGACCACAACTTGCATCAGTAACACCTTAGTCTTTATCCTAACATCATTGCTCTTTAGCACTTTGGAGAGGTCCTTGACAGTAGAGTTTCCCAATGCATCACATCTTTTGATTTCTTGACTGCTGTTGCCAGAAGTGTTGATTGTGTGTCAAAGCAAAATGAAGTCATTGCCAATCTCAATCTTTTCTGCATCTATCATAATGTTCCTGGTTTGTCCAGTGGTAAGGATTTGTGGTTTTCTGATGTTGAGATAGAATTAATCTTGGAGGCTGTAGATCTTCTGTATTATGTGCTTCAAGTGTTTTGGTTTTGGTTTTGGTTTTGGTGGGGTTTCCCCCCCCCCTTTTCGCGAGCAACACTGTGTCATCTGTATAATGCAGGTTGATGAGTCTTACTCCAATCCTGAGCCACATTTTTCTTCACAAAGTCCAGCTTCTAAAATTATTTGCTCCACATCCAGATTGAATAGGCATGGAAGAGCGGTAA